GCATGCACCAAATTATGAAAATATGGCGGGGAAGTTGAATATCAATTTCTAAAACAAAAACATGCTTATTAGTTATTAATTGGTCAAAAATTAGTAAAACAAACGAGAAAATATAGCAAATGGGTAGACTAGACATTAATTGAAAGAGTCCTGGCATTTAAAGTGTGGAATGAAATATAATTCATGTAAAAAATTGTTGATTTTAACGGACACGACTTATTCAAAATTATTCAAAACAAAAATTCAAACTAAAAAGTTAAGAAAACTCTCGAAAAGTTAAGCTTCTTAACCCACTCAAATTGTAGAATAAATCCTATAGTTTAATTATTGTGAACACGAAAATTTTTTATATTTGGCGACATAGTTTTTTTCAAAGAAATGTATCTCAAACGAAAATTCGGAAATTGTCGTTGCTTAGTTGATAAACAAAATGTTTCAGACGATAAATTTGTCAATAATCACCTTTAGTGGAGAAGGTGGAACACTCATGTTTTTGCAACTCTGCGCGACATTAGCTAAAAAAAGTGTCCATCACGAAAACGAGGCCCTGTGAATGGTCAAGATGACGTTCTTTCCGGAAGCGTGTATAGGTATATATGGATTAAAAAGCAGATAGTCTATATCTGCACCAGTATATATCTGGAGTAAAGACTTTAGTCATTAATTGGGCCCATGATCGAGTAAAGTGAAGCCAAGATGGCGGAAATTGACGTCCAAAATCTATAAGGTCGTAAAGAATTTACACACCATTTCTCCCAGCTAATTCCAGTTTTTAAGATTTTGATACACTCCTTGCAGCCTCGTGTTAACCGTGCAGACAAATATACTGTAAGGTCCTAGCAGTGGACGTTCATTTTCGCCATTTTTGGCTTCACTTGTTGGACGCGAATTTTTACTCCAGATATATATGGAGTTCTCAGATGTGCACACTGTATCTGAACCACTGATCTGTACTAAGACTGGATAACGCATCTATAGTATACGAAAGTGAAGCCGGAAGTCACCGGCCGCCACCCGATTCAAGGGTCCCACTTTTGTTAGATTTGTATTACAGATGGTAGTTTTTCACGTTTTTCGCCTTGGCTATGTTTCTGACCGGGCCAGTTTTACAATCACAAAAATAGAAGCATACAAGAAGAATTTTGAGCAAAAAAATTGGAGTATTATGAGATCGGTAACGCCGCGGAACGGGATTTACAATTTTGAAGGAGTGGAGAGCCTCTGACTTTGTTTATCAACACGAGCTCGTTTTGCTACTTTCATACAAAATCAACTCAAAATATACAAGAATTACTGTTACTGAAGCAGCTACATTGTGAACAAAAGCATACTGAGGTTAGTTTTAAAAGACCTTGAGGCTAACTTTTATAATTATATGAATTAATAAGGAACAGTTTTAAAAAATGTCAATTTTGTCAAGAGCATTCCCTCGACTTGTCGAGAATTTTTATATAATTTAAAGGTAGGAAGACAAGTGACAATCAAATATTTTTTAATCCAAATTAACAATGACTCAATATAATGTTATTTTAATTCATATAATTATAAAATTAGCGTCAAGGTATTTTTAAAACTAACCTCTGTACGCTTTCGTTCACAATGTAGCTGCTTCATTTCTTCAATTTTCCTGAGAATATTCGTCCAGTAACAGTAATTCTTGTATATTTTGAGTTGATTTTGTATGAAAGTAGCTCGTGTTGATATACAAAGTCTGAGGCTCTCCACTCCTTCAGAGTTGTAAATCCCGTTTCGCGGCGTTATAAAGCCATAATACTCAAAATACTCAAAATTCTTCTTGTATGCTTCTATTTTTGTGATTGTAAAACTGGCCCAGTCAGAAACGTAGCCAAGGCGACAAACTACCATCTATAATACAAATCTATACGAAAGTGGGACCCTTGAATCGGGTGGCGTCCGGTGACTTCCGGCTTCACTTTCGTGTACTATAGATGCGTTATCCAGTCTTAGTATAGATCAGTGATCTGAACCAGTTATGTAGTCCCTGCAGAATATTTCGAAATTCTAGAAAATGGTATTTTTACCATTTGAGGACGTAATCGGACAACACTAGGTTTTGTTATTGTTGTTGTTAGCAAGTAATAAATTGTCTTTGAATGTAATAAAATGACACTGAAAACCATTTCAAAGTACTGATCCATTAGAGGACGAGATGAAAACCATTTCAAACTATTGATTCTAATTTTTTAGGTTAGCCTGCGTAGTCGCGGACGTGACAAAAAAATTTTGCTTTTGGATTTGTTACCAGTTTAAATTTGTTTTTCGCCTGTATCCGTCTTTGTTAACAAAAAAATCCATAGTTTTTACTCGTGTTGAATTTAACGTGTGTTATTGTCACGTTCGCGTAGTATAGATTTAGCATATCTTAAGCTCTATTTGCTTGCGGGCAGCGAGAGAAAACGCCTGCTGCACAGGCTATACAATTCGGTTAAACCTAAAGCAAATCCAATTGCCTCCTTGTAGTGGGTACGCGGAGGTCATTGCATAGATTTGCCGAGACTCAACTTCTCTAATTTGACTTCTTCACCATAATTTTCGCAAGCGAGCGACGAAGGTGCAAGAGGTGGCGACTTGGCAGCGACGAAAATAGGAGAGATGGGTACGAGTTTCCCTCGTTTTCTCTTCCCCTCAGCTCCGTTTTCCCCCTCTCCTCTGTTCCCCTCCTAAACCCGATAGAAAAACGTATTTGGGTAATACCTCACCACGCACTCGTCTTCGAGTGACCATTGCCATTAAATCTCGTTTATTTTGAAGTGAGGTCTTGAAGCATCTCTGAACGTGAAACGTGTGTAAAAAAACCTTGTCGAGGAAAAATTATCGAAAAAAATCTTGTTGGTCGTACACGCGTGCAAGGAAAACTTCATCGTCTGTACTTAATTAAGAGCATGACAACGCATGTTAATTTGGATGTAAATGTAAGCAGTGACGTAAGCTGCGATCTACGCAGATCATTAGTTGCATTGCTAATTAATCTTTTGACTATAGCTACAGTATAATGGCTGGGCAGGGTTGAGGTTAGATTATCGGTCTAGGAAGCCAAGAATAAATAGAATTTTATATTTCTCTTCATCGCAATTGTTCTGTTCAGTTATTTAGTTCTGAAATTAAAACGCCAAGGCTAATCAGGGAATATAATATAAATGCGCATTTCTAAATCCAGTTAATTCTTAGTTTCTTGTTAAAATTGTTTTCGTGTTTATGGGAGAGGATGCACAGCAATCCTAGTATACTGTACATAACGCTATGGCCTGACGTCCCTATAAGGTTTCGTATAGTTAGGAAAGCGTAATAAGATTATAGAGATGATGCTTGTGATGTTACTCTGAGTATATATCCACACCGGGCAAGCTTGAAAAATATGCCTGACCACAGTGGGAATCGAACCTACGACCTTTGGAATACTAGCCCAATGCTATATCACATACTCGAACCAGCCTGACCGCGTATAGCTCAGTTGGCATAGCATTGGGCCACCGTGGTCAGGCATATTTTTCAAGCTTGCCCGGTGTGGATATATACCCAGAGTAACATCACAAGCATCATATTCACCTGAGTACATTACACCAACACAGAAAAAATCAAGATTATAGAGATCTCGTTCGACATGACTATAATAGTAGGCTAGTATGTATATATATGTAGTATAGGCTAGTATATATATATATATATATATATATATATATATATATATATATATATATATATATATATATATATATATATATATATATATATATATATATATATATATATATATATATATATATAGTACATGTA